CAGTCTATGTGAGTCAGTTCGTTATAAGCCTTCCACTGCATAAAAACTCATCCTATATTGGTTGATTCTTGGTTCTGCCCATACTCATTGGAGGGCCAATGACGGACGTCGTAATTGACACACGTTGAACGACTGACCTTGTGCACGAGGGACCGACCCAACTCGCGGAGTACCGGCCTAGAGCGCAGAGGACCAGGGTCAATCCATGGAGGACCACCCTAAAGCGCGGAGGACAATGTTACATGCTGCGCCTGCACACGAGGGCCATTTTCCAGGCCCTGCGTCCCTCAGGCTGAAAGCCTGAAATTCAGACTGAGAGCCTGAAAACCAGGGCCTACAGGCCCCTTGTCTGTTTCAGCCTGACAGCCTGAAAACCAGGGCCTACAGGCCCCGTGTCTGTTTCAGCCTGACAGCCTGAAAACCACGGCCTACAGGCCCCATGTCGGTTCAGCCTGACAGCCTGAAAACAAGGGCCTATAGGCCCTCAGTCTTTAGCCAGAAGCTAATTGGAAACTACCCGGAAGTTTCCTCAGGGGCTAGCACGTTCTGGCATTGGCAAGAGCGGCCTCCCGGAAGCTTCCTCAGGGTCTAGCACGTTTGGGCATTGGCAAGAGTAGCCTCCTGGACGGGCCAGCACTATATAAGACTGGCCCGCCTACAGGCAGGGAAGTAGTTCATAGGGACTGGCCAGGCACTTCACGTGCAGTTCAGGCAGGCAGGAGGCAGTCAGTAGTCTCCAGGATTCGGCAGCAGCACTCTGGAGGAGCACTGCAGGAGAGCAGCGTTAGTTGTAGTCTTCAGCGCTGGGCGCTAGCAGTAGAAGAGTAGCGTTAGAGTAGTGCTGGAGAGAGGTGGCTGGCGGAGGCCAGGGATACTTACCTGTGGCACCATAGCTCCAGCTTTGTCTTCAAGGTACCTGCACTGGCCCGCCCTACAGGCAGGGAAGTAGTTCATAGGGACTGGCCAGGCACTTCACGTGCAGTTCAGGCAGGCAGGAGGCAGTCAGTAGTCTCCAGGATTCAGCAGCAGCACTACTCTAACGCCACTCCTCTACTGCTAGCACCCAGCGCTGAAGACTACAACTAACGCTGGAGAGAGGTGGCTGGCGGAGGCCAGGGATACTTACATGTGGCACCATAGCTCCAACTTCGTCTTCAAGGTACCTGCAGCAGGGCGCCACTTCACAGGGTGACTTACCTGTGGCGCCATAGCTCTAGCTCCATCCTCGAGGTACCTGCAGCAAGGCACCAACTTCACAGGTTAGTACTGGACCAGAGAGAGAGAGAGAGAGAGAGAGTCCTCCTTCCTCTTCTAAGTCCACCATCTCTTCTCTACCCTCTCGCTACCTGACTTCTCAGTATCTGCAAACTACGAGGGAGAAAGACTTGTGACTTTGAGACTTGATGACATTTGGACCAGACTCGACATTGAGGTTCAGACATTCGACGAGGGATTATTTGGGACTTGTACCGAAGACTTGGGGTTGGCAACATTCCCATCTCCCCTCCTCTCTTCGTCTGTTCCTCCCTCTCTTCGTCTGCGTATGGTTGGCCCTGGCGCACTCTTCTGTGTATGGCGCCAGGCCTTTCCCACCTTGCAACGATGATGGTAACGTTGGATCTGTGTCACAACCTTGGTTGGGTTGATCTCTGATATCTTAGCATTCCGCTGCGCTATCTTATACTTGAAGTATATCACGGATGTCATGTCAGTCCCAGTCAGGTCAGGACTAGTATCCAAGTGTCCCGCCGTGTCACAAAGTACCAGTTTGCATGTATCAGGACGAACATTGCTGGTTGTGATTCCGTTAACACTGCATTGTCATTTCAGTCCTTTTCATCACTTTGCGGATCCTTGGCTCCCCTACATTGCCCAACTGGGCTTGTAACAGTTGGTATCGGAGCCAAGGCTGTCAGGCTGAAACAGACACGGGGCCTGTAGGCCCTGGTTTTCAGGCTGTCAGGCTGAAACAGACACGGGGCCTGTAGGCCCTGGTTTTCAGGCTGTGAAGCTGAAACAGACACGGGGCCTGTAGGCCCTGGTTTTCAGGCTGTCAGGCTGAAACAGACACGGGGCCTGTAGGCCCTGGTTTTCAGGCTGTCAGGCTGAAGCAGACACGGGGCCTGTAGGCCCTGGTTTTCAGGCTGTCAGGCTGAAACAGACACGGGGCCTGTAGGCCCTGGTTTTCAGGCTGTCAGGCTGAAACAGACACGGGGCCGGTAGGCCCTGGTTTTCAGGCTGTCAGGCTGAAACAGACACGGGGCCTGTAGGCCCTGGTTTTCAGGCTGTCAGGCTGAAACAGACATGGGGCCTGCAGGCCCAGGTTTTCAGGCTGTCAGGCTGAAACAGACACGGGACCTGTAGGCCCTGGTTTTCAGGCTTTCAGCCTGAGGGACGCAGGGCCTGGAAAATGGCCCTCGTGTGCAGGCGCAGCATGTAACACCCCCTCCTCCCGCTGTGTCACAAAGTACCAGTTTGCATGTATCAGGACGAACATTGCTGGTTGAGATTCTGTTAACACTGGATTGTCATTTCAGTCCTTTTCATCACTTTGCGGATCCTTGGCTCCCCTACATTGCCCAACTGGGCATGTAACAGTTCATATCAGAGCCAAGGTTGTCAGGCTGAAACAGACACGGGGCCTGTAGGCCCTGGTTTTCAGGCTGTCAGGCTGAAACAGACACGGGCCTGTAGGCCCTGGTTTTCAGGCTGTCAGGCTGAAACAGACACGGGGCCTGTAGGGCCAGATTTTCAGGCTGTCAGGCTGAAACAGACATGGGACCTGTAGGCCCTGGCTTTCAGGCTTTCAGCCTGAGGGAGCAGGGACTGGAAAACGGCCCTCGTGTGCAGGCGCACCAGACCGCACAGGTTCTCGTTCGCACTCTCAGCCGTCCCGACCAAAAGGATTGGGTTGAGCAGCTGTCGGACGTCAAGTTGGCCTACAACTCGTCCATCCACCCGGCTATTGGGATGTCGCCCTTCGAGTTCGAGCACGGCTCGCCGGTCACCTCTCCGTTGGACACCATCATTCCACGAGCGGCCGAGAGCGACGACCATCTTCTTTTCTTGCATCGGATGCAAGAGCATCTTGTCAAGGCACGCGACCAGATGGCTAAGACGCAGCAGCGCATGAGCCAGCAGGCCAATCGCCAGCGTCTTCCTTGCCCATTCCGCGTCGGCGACCTCGTTTGGGTTTCAGCCGCGAAATTCAGCCTTGAACAAGACATCTCTCGCAAGCTCCTCCCGAAATGGATGGGGCCCTTGCCAATCGTGGCACCCGCTGGAGATGCACCTGAAGGACCTTCCTTCATCATTCAGGTGCCCGCCCACTTGCCCGTCTACCCGGTCTTTCATTGCTCCAAGTTGGCTCTTTACACGCCAGTAGACCATGACGGTTTTCCCGGGCGACGATTGCAAGACCCACTCTCTATGGACGGTTTTCAAGAGGTCAGCGATATCATCTCCCAGCGCCGCTACGGCAACAGGCCGACTGAGTATCTGGTCCATTTTGCATACTGCACCCACACAGCTGACCGTTGGTTGACCCGTGCGGAACTGCAAACGACAGCTCCAGACGTTCTCGCACGCTACGAACGCAAGATGCAAGGCAAGCAGGTACCTTCGGCTCCACGCCGCACCCGCGTTCCTGTTCCACCTTCAGACCGTCAGCTTCACCCCCGACCCGGCTTGACTTCATAAGGAGGGGTGGGTGTTACATGCTGCGCCTGCACATGAGGGCCATTTTCCAGGCCCTGCGTCCTTCAGGCTGAAAGCCTGAAAACCAGGGCCTACAGGCCCCGTGTCTGTTTCAGCCTGACGGCCTGAAAACCAAGGCCTACAGGCCCCATGTCTGTTTCAGCCTGACAGCCTGAAAACCAGGGCCTACAGGCCCCGTGTCTGTTTCAGCCTGACAGCCTGGCCAGTGTCTATTTCAGCCTGACAGCCTGAAAACCAGGGCCTACAGGCCCCGTGTCGGTTCAGCCTGACAGCCTGAAAACAAGGACCTATAGGCCCTCAGTTTTTAGCCAGAAGCTACCTGGAAACTACCCGGAAGTTTCCTTAGCGACTACCACGTTCTGGCATTGGCAAGAGCGGCCTCCCGAAAGCTTCCTCAGGGTCTAGTACGTTTGGGCATTGGCAAGAGTAGCCTCCTGGACAGGCCAGCACTATATAATACTGGCCCGCCCTACAGGGAGGGAAGTAGTTCATAGGGACTGGCCAGGCACTTCACATGCAGTTCAGGCAGGCAGGAGGAGCGCTGCAGGAGAGCAACGTTAGTTGTAGTCTTCAGCGCTGGGGGCTAGCAGTAGAGTAGCAGCGTTAGAGTAGTGCTGGAAAGAGGTGGCTGGCGGAGGCCAGGGATACTTACCTGTGGCGCCATAGCTCCAGCTTCGTCTTCAAGGTACCTGCAGCAAGGCGCCAACTTCACAGGTTAGTACTGGACCAGAGAGAGAGAGAGAGAGAGAGAGAGAGAGAGAGAGAGTCCTTCTTCCTCTTCTAAGTCCACCATCTCTTCTGATAGGAGCTAGCACAGTAGGTACCGCATTCAGCTTCCACACAGTAGACGCTGGGATCGAGCCTTTCGAGGCACTACCTGGGCTAGCTCCTTTTTGGAGCTGCCCATCTTATAAGCATGAAAGCGCGGCCATTTTCGGCCGCGAGATCATCGGATCTCACGGCCAAAAACGGCCGCGCTGATACAGCATGGCCCTACTCAAGGATGACACGCATAAGTCGAGAAATGGCCCGATTTTTTTCGATTCCCCAACGGGAATCGAACTCGGGTCCTTACGACGACGAAGAGGGGAGGGAAAACGCCAACAAGGCGTAGTAATGGCCGTTGGCTTATGCCAATGGCATTCTTACTAAAATAAATAAATAAATAAATAAATAAAGAGAAAAGCTAAACTAAGTCGGTGCGCCAGATGGCGCTAGGCGGAGCGATAAGGGAGTCCCCAAACAAACTGTAGTCGCCCGTTGAAAACGGGCAGCAGTTTTCTCAGGTAGGTCGTTTTTTTTTTTGTTTTTTTTTTTTCTTTTTTAGATTTTCTTTTTCTAGATTTTTTCGTTTTCTCTTTCCCCGTTCGCGACCGTTGAGGCATGGCCAACAGGGAAAACGAGGAAAGGCTGAAACCAAATAAGCTAAAAAGGGAGACAAAACAAAACGAAACGAGGCTGTTGCCTCAAGGTTGGAAAGAACAGCCTTTCCGACTGTGTGGGAGCAGAATGGCTCCCCACTCCATTCAGGGCGAATAGAGATCCTGGATCTCGCAGCTCACTGTGCACGCGCGGGAACCAAGAGGAGGTTGAAGGGAGAAGGAGAAAACAAGGGAGTTGGGAGGGGAGGTCCTACCTTTCCCAACCTGACAACTGCCCTCCCCGTTTTCAGGGGAGGGCAGAGGAAGGTTGGGGGGGGGGGTGGCTGCATGCAATTGCATGAACCTGGCCGAAAGAATGGCCAGGCACATGCAGTTAGACTTAGTTTTAATTTTCTTTTATTTTTGTTTGTTTCTTCTTTATTTTTGAGAGGACACTTGTCCTCATGTGGTGCTATCTCTAGCAGAAGCTGCCAGAGTTAACTGTCACGCTCCCGTTTTTAGAGGGGGCCTGAAATCTGAGGGGTCATGAAGGAAAAAGGCTAAATATAGCCCTTTCCCCAATGTATTTGCCCAGGAAAAAGGGTCCAGATACATCAAACTGAAAGGGGTTGTATCTCTCCAGCCCCTTATCGAAAAATAAAAGAAAAACATTTTTGAAAATGGAAAAAGCCCAGCTTCCTCGTGAAAATCCGAGATAGCTGGGAAAAGAAAAGAAAAAGAAAATGAGGGCAGTTAAAGAAACGGCCCTCACTAAGGCTGTGGCTGTGGTGCGGCCACAGTTAGCCCTGAATCTTGGTCAGATCAAGGGCTCACTGAGAGCCCGCGATTTTGCTTGAGGGCTGGAGTGACGTCCAACCATCCTCAACCACTATAAAACAGGCAGCTGTCCCCAGCTGCCACACAAAGCACTCGTGCTGCCAATGCGTGATGAGCACGCTTGAGTGTTGCTGAGCTGCTGGAGGGGCTGCCTGAGGCAACGTGGGAGGAGGCTGGAGGTCTGCATGGGAGCGCGAGAGGAGGAGCTGGGCAGCCATTGCCAAGGCAGGGAGCACTCTGCTCCCCTCCCCTCGGGATGGTGCTGGTCCAACGGGACTGAACCAGGGACGCAGTGGGACTACGGCTGCGCGACACTGTGAAATTTGGGCTTGGGGCCCAAATTTTATTAATTTTGGCCAGCCATTTTTCCACTTTCGTGGGAAAGTGTTGCCGAAATTTTACAGCGGCAAGCAGCGGACGGCTAGGTTGTCGGCAGCGGTACCGGTGGAAAGGATCTGCGACAGGCCACTTTTCCCACGTTCGTGGGGAGGTGCTGCCGAATTTTTCCAGCGGCAAGCGGTGGACGACAAAGTTACTCGCGGCGGTACTGGTGGGACGCACCTACGACAGGGTGAATTCCCACTACTGTGGGGAAGTGCCGCCGAAATTTTCCGGCACCAACGACACTAATTTTAGCACCATTATGCTGCCAAAATTTGAGCCCGCCAAGCGGTGCTAGGTGGAACGGAGGTGCTGACGTGTCAGGAGGTCAATGGCAACGTCAGTCAGGATACCATTTTCGGGGTTCGGAACCGGAGAGGAGGCGACACGTTATTGTTTATTTTATTTTTTTCTCTTGCGTCAGCAAAGGGGGGACATCTTGCATTGGCCAAATAGGACCGGTGGGATGCATGAGTAAGGCAGGTGGTGCCAGCGAGGAGAGGCTAGTCATTTTTTTTTTTTGTAAGAACCAGGGGAGGTTATTTTGGCAAGTGATATCATCTGGAAGTGTAAAGGAAAAGCATGGGACCGCCTGGGACCACGCGATACCAGTTGGCACTGACGTGGACCACTTGGTACCAGTGGACACTGACGTGGACCACTTGGGACTAATTGGCACGAACGTGGGACCGCCTGGAACTAGTTGGGACTGTCTTGGAACCAACATTTTTTGGGGGGAACTCGTGCGACTTGCCGCCATCAGATTGGGGACTACGATGTGTGGGACTTGCGAGTTGGGAACAGATTGGGACAAGCAGTTGGTCTGAGACTTGCCTTGGGACTGCAGTTTTCTCGGCGACAAGTATATTCTTTCTTGGCTTTCTCGAGTGAGCCTGGGCGCGTTCGACACCACTTGAGTCAAGGTCAGTTGATTGACTCAGATTCCTTTTCACACTTGTGTGAACCCACACTTTGCTTGGCCCTGTTTGTTTTGAACGTTCAGAAAAAAAAGGTTGAGTAAAGTGTGTGTCGTCATGCATGTGAAAAATATAATCTGACAAGAGTATGGGTTATTGGATTTTTTGGACATATGGTTGTTTTTTAGAGGCGGTTAATGGAAGGCCCAAAATTCGGCGAATTTTGGTGAATTTTCGACCGAAACTGTCATTATTTCCTTGAATTTTTACTCTCTTCTCAGTTTTTTTTTTTGCCTGTGATATATGTGTTCTAAGGTATATCTCTATTCAGTTTCAGCGTATTTGGACAAGTAAGAAAAAACTTAGCAAAAACAGCAGACTCGAAAAAAGCTTTGGCGAACTCCGAAAGCTACTCCGAATAGGGATTTATAGTGCTCTTGAGTTTGATTTTTTCGTTTTTTTTTTGCCTAATTGTTTTTTTGATGTTTGTATTATGACCCCGCATAGTTTGTTCGCAAAAGTTTCGACAACATTGCTTGTAGCGACGCGGCGAAAACCCCCGAATTTTTGGCCTTCCATTAACCGCTAGTGTGTGTGTGCAGGTAGGTAGAAGGATGCATGGAAAGAAGATTGATTATGCCTATTTGAGAAAAGGGAACATGATAGTTTTCTTTTCACTTCTCACCTGCCTGCATGCCAAGTAGGGTTGATTGTTTTGAAAAATGTCAATTTTTTGCGCATCGTAAAACAAATTCGATTCAAATAAAGTAGATAAGGTCAAACGAACGTCGCTTTCTATCTTGTATAACTTTTCTCTGTCCAAACGGTTCTCATTCTCTATCTTTTCTAACTCTTTTCGTTTGAGTTACCTTGGGCAACAGAGGATGGGAACGACTACAAATCTACTTGCGGTGAACTCATTCTCTTTCTTCAGGAAGCATCTGGGGCAGGGGTTCGTTGCTTTAGGAGTCGGCCCTATTATCGACCCAGAGTGGACCGTTTCTACGGGGGGTACTTTGCCAATTCGATGGAGACGGCCTGACTTCTGAGATCCGAGTCTTGTGCTCGGGCGAGGAGTACCCCAGACCACTTCCTAGAGCGAGAGGCATGCAAAACTTCAAGCAATGCACCTTATCAAGAATCATCCGCAAAGCAGCCAGCCATTCGAAAAGATTGGGAACGTATGCGTGCCTAATCTTAGGTCGGCGATAGGATAAAATAAATGACTTCGGCAGCGCATCTCATCAAGTCAAAATTGGGGCAGTACATCTACCTTGTCCGCTGCATCTATGTTATTGTTGAAAGCTAACTCCTCATTGGCGGCTGTATGATTTTTGTGGAGTTCGACCCGAGGTGGTCGGATTTTATTTTGATCTTTTGTTACTGGATGTATTTAATGATGATTTTGATTCCTTCGGTTATCGTTTCAAATTGGATATATATTCATGTTGATTACGGTGACTCATTTTGATATAAATATAGCTTTCTTCTGACTGGTGTTTAAAAGGGACTAGGATACTTGTGGGTTTCACGCCTGGTAGAGACCGTCCTAGTCGATCGGCGTCAACTTCGTTCTTAGGAGATCAGCGCCCAAAGGAACAGACGACGTCCAAGTTCAATAGGCGTTTTCATCGCACGTACCTATACTACAGCGAGCGAGCAAACGCCCTTGACTGACCCACCTCTGCAATTGCATTTAAAAGCTCTCGCATGTGGGTCAGTAGCTCGGTAGGGATACGCCCCTCAGGGTGGTGACAGCCCCTTAGGGAAGAAAGCTTATGCCCCACGGAAACCTATCCTATCGTAGGGGACTGCGGGATGTACAGTTGGGGCACCCGGTTAAAGCGGCAAAGGGACTATGCGACATTCGAGCGCATCGACTCCTGCCTATTCGCAAAGTGCGGGAGCCCTCCTGGCCATGTCACAGAGTTGAACAATAAGTGCGGGAGCCCTCCTGGCCATGTCACAGAGTTGAACAATAAACAAAACAAGAGAGACAACTTGGGAACGAAGCATAATCAGCCATTCATTTTGAATGGCTGATTATGCTTCATTCCCAAGTTGTCTCTCTTGTTTTGTTTATTGTTTAACTCCTCCGTGACATGGCCAGGAGGGCTCCCGCACTTTGCGAAAAGGCAGGAGCCGATGCGCTCGAATGCGTGCGAGCTTGTCGAAGGGCATAAGCATGAGCTTCATCAACAACTTTGGCTACATTATTCAGAATGCTGTCATGAGGAAGACTGGTGTACATTGTGGTAAAATCAACAGTGTGAGGAGAGAGGCCACGAAAAGATGATGCATTGTTTTTCAGGTCAATTGCCACTTCATAGGCACTCTGAACGATCCAACACCGTCGAACACCAACCCGTTGATAGAGCTCAGTGTCTCTCTCGCGAAGAGTAGAGATCACTACTTGCAAAGCAGCGTTGAGATACGACCAAGTAGTCATTGTGCTAGCCAAGGGTTTGTGAGGAGGCCGTTCATGAATGGTGCGAATTGTTGGACGAGGGCGAGCACTCGTTGGAACAACACTGGAGGAGACTTGTGAGCTTTGAGTATATAGTAAAGGAAAGGTAGGGTATCAGTGTGGGTGTAGCCCCAATGGTGATTCCACATTGCATGGTGGTCAAGGACATCAGCAACAGACTCTTGAAGACAAGTATACGTGGGACTGTCCAAATGGGTAGAGAGATGAAACAGATACCGATTCTTGCAGCAAATTGCGAAATTGTGCGATGTTTTGTCCACAGGAACAATCGCAAAGTGTTGTTGAAGATGGCGCAAGCAGGCATGTGTGGAACGAAGTGGACGAGGCTGGCTCACATGATTGGAGAACGAAGATGCATTGGATTGACAATGCATAAGGATTGCAGAACGCCAATTGTTCAACTTCTGAGAAAAAGACGAGAAAGAAGCAGATCGAGAATCTTTGTCCAACAACCTTTTGTAATTGGCAATATACTCATCGAGTCCACTTGCCAGTGCTTGAAGCACATTGACAGTTTCCCCATCCAGCCGATACTTCGAGCCTTCTTGACAAAGCTTGGGAAGGCTATCATCGGAGATGATATTGTAGTCAACAGACACATCATGGTCATCCACATTGAACTCTATCTACAGCTATGGCGGCTATGGCCGCTACTACCCTATCGCTATGGCTACGCTCCTCTCTCGCCCACTTCGTCCCTTGGCTCACTGCAGACCACCTCGCACAAGTCGCTTGTGGCAGCGCTTCCGCATGGCTCACGCAGGAATGAATGAATGGCTAGGCGCTGCCTCTTGATTTATACCTCTGCAGCTCATTGGTCTAGCCCCTTTCCCATGCCCGTAGTGCACACAGTCCCATGCGGTACTTGCTTGACTGGACCAGGACTGACTAGGACTGGGACTGCTGACTCAGCACAGGTAGACTCCACCACTTGCCTCACCACTTGCCCACTTGCCTCAGCCTAAACGTGGGCAACTTCAAAAGGCCACTACTCGGACCTTCCGGAAGGCCGTAGACTTGGCCTTTCGATACTGTAGCAGCTACAACCTTGACTCTTCGAGAAGGCTACAACTATGACTTCTAGACCTGACTGAGACTCCTACTCGACAGGTCTACAGATCGAACCCCTGCTACCTATGGACCTCACGACAACCTACCAACTGTTACAAATACACAGGTCACGGGTTCAACTCTAGAGGTCGACACAGATACTGTACACAGATACTGTACACAGATAAGGTGGGGACTAGGGATCGAGCCCTGGGATCTGCATCGGCTACTGCAAACTGGTGAATATCGTTTCACTCCCGCCGACCTAAATTCGAGGTCCTCCGAGAATAACTCAGTCCAAGGCAGGACCTTTACTTTTCTGATCTCTCTCGTAGGCTCTAACTATATCGGGAGCTGTCTCTATAAGTTCTGCTCTAGTGAACCAGCGGTCGTCCTCCGGTTCCTGATACGCAAACCGGACCTTATATTGCTTCTGCGGACAACCTCTACCTCCTGTTCTGAATACATCTTCACCTACAATGCCGTCAATGTCGTATCTCCCGTCCATGTCTGCGGGGATCATGGGTCTCCTAGATGGAAACTATCGACTCGTGACACACGGCAGCAACTTAGATGCGTGAAACACAGGGTAGGTATGGCGGTGTGCTGGTATCTCTACTGTTTAGGACGGCCCATCCTCTCCGCCCTTAACTTCTAGAACTGGCCACAATCCTCTATATGCGGGCAGTAACTTTTGTGAGATGTTCTCCTCGGGCGCAAACTCTTTAGACTTGACCCAGACCAGGTCGCCTACCTGAAACTGCGATGGGCGACGGTGCTTGTTAGCCTGTTCTATCATTCGGTGCTGGGCCTTCCTGAGGTTCTCAACAACAGTGGCTATTTCTTTCTCATGCTGTATCGCGAACTCCCTAGTATCGGGAGGTAGCCTATGGATATGACCCCGGTTAAGTCCTTCAAACCGTCTRCGCGGTCTAAAGGACTTGTGCAACTCGTTGGGAGTGTGACAGGTGGACAAATGTACACTGTTATTGTATGCACTGGCTACCTTTGGTAACATCTCGTCCCAGTTAATCTAATCCGGTCTAATGTACATGCGCAAAACTTGCTGCAGGATCTTGTTCATTTGCTTGTTCTGACCGTTAGTCTCTGGATGGCGGCTAGATCACATCAACAACTTAGATCCATAGACTCTCATCAGTTCCTGCCGATCTCTCATCAGTTCCTGCCAATTGTGGCTAGTAAAACGGGTAATCTCTATCGCTAACAATAGACAATGGGACGCCATGCTCACTAACCCAAAAGTCGAAAAACTTCTGAATAACTAACTCCGTACGTGCCTCTGCAGGCAAAGGGACAAAAATAGCATACTTGCTAAATCTATTGACTACAACCATGACTTGGCTCTTGCCGTGCCTACTCTTGACACCGACATCCATGAAGTCGATGGAGACTGAATCTCCAGGCTGGTCTGGAATAGGCAAGGGTCTGAGAAGACCTAGCGGGGCACGCATAGTAGTCTTGTTCCTTTGACAGACTTTACAACTGCGGACATACTCTATGCAGTCGTTTTTCATTCCTGGCCATGTATACGCGTGCATGAGATTGGCCAAAGTCTTTTGCCAACCAAAGTGTCCCTCTGTATCATGGCATTCCCCCAGGATTAGACTGCGAATCTCTTCACTGTTGGGAACGCATAGGCGGTCTACTACATTAGTCTTCTCAAATAATAACCCCTCTGTAGTGCGGTAATCTGGCTCGGTCTCCAGGGTCTCCTTAACCTTCTTGAGGAGGTCACTATAGATAGGGTCCTGCGCATACGCCTGTCTAACTTTCTCTTGCAGGCCACGCCCTATGTCCAGATAGTGAACTATAGCTCCAAAGTAGTCTGATCTCCTACTCAGAGCATCCGCAACTACATTGTACTTGCCCTTAACTGGCTCGAGCTCAAAGTCGTACTGATCTATCTCAGCGGCCCACCTAGTAAACTTAGGTGTCATCTTGGCCCTGTGTCTTCAGCCATCTAAGTGTCTCATGGTTTGAATACACCTTGAAGTGCCTCCAGTGCTCTAAAGCCTGCCTGAGAGCGTAGAGTTCCCTCTCATACGTCGAGGTAGCAACCTTCTCTAAGGGCATCCTCACTGACATGAACTCTACGGGTCAGTAACCATTGTCGTCGTCCTGTTGTAACACGACCCTATACCACACTGACTCGTGTTCGTGGTGACGACAAATGGCAAGGACGGATCTGCTACTTTGAGGACAGGATATTCTATTAATGCGCGCTTCAACTTCTTTAGCGCAGACGTACAATCTTTATCTCACTGCTAGATTGCCTCTTTCTTGAGCAACCTGCAAAGGGGAGCAACGATAATCGAGAAGTTCCTCACGAACTTCCTATAGTAATTAGCTAGGCCTAGAAATGACCGCAATTCAGTCAACGTGCGGGGCGTCGGCCAGTCTCTAATCGCCGCTATCTTACTGTCCTCAGGCTTAATGCCATCTCCGTCTAACACGTGGCCCAAGTACAGAACTTGTGTCTTGGCCCACTCGCACTTCTTCGCATTGATCTTGAAGTCAACTTCTCTCAGCTTCTCCAAGACCTGCCTCAAATGACCCTGGTGCTCTTGGAGGGTCCTACTGAAGACTAAGATGTCGTCTAGATACCCTACGTCAAATCTATCTAACCAAGGCCTAAACAAATCGTTCATACATCGCTGAAATGTCGCTGGCGCATTGGTCAGTCCAAAGGGCATCACTATGAACTCGTAATGCCCATATCTAGTCCGGAACACAGTCTTGTACTGGTCATCAGGATGGACTTCTATCTGATGGTATCCGGACTTCAAATCTATCTTGGAGGAATATTTGCAACCCTGCACCCGATCTAAGAGATTGTCTATCCTAGGTAGTGGTTCATCATTCTTCTCTGTGATAGCATTCAAACCCCTTTAGTCTATACACATTCGCAACTCTCCTTCCTTCTTGGGGACAAATAAAATTGGTGCTCCAAAAGGAGACGAACTACGCCTAATCCAACCTTTCTCAAGGAGCTCGTCCAACTGCTTGCGCAACTCCTCTAACTCTCTAGGGGACATCCTGCTGACTGCTCCCTTAGGAGTTCTACTGCCAGGCTCTATCTCTATCCTGTGCTGGATTGGCCACGGCACTACTCCTGTCGACGGCTCTGTAAGATCTTTAAACTCTTCCAGCAGCTTGGCAATGGCTGGATCCATGGAACTATCCTCTTCCTTAGGCTCAGTGACAGGTCTGACATACACTACGAAGACCTGATCCTCTAACTGCTCCTTTCTCACTAATCGTGCGAACGCGGGAGCACTGAGACAGCAATGTGCCAGCGAGTTATCTACTCTTGACACATGGAACAAACGGGTTGTCTGCTTGACGGACTAGGGAGCCTACACTCATGCTCTCTCAAGTGGAGTGTGGCCCATGTTGCCTCTCCCCAGTCCATACCTAGGACTATATCGAAGGGAAGGTCATCTTGTACGAGGAGAGTCAGGGAATGGAGAACTTTCTCTGCTTTCCCATCTTTCTCTAGGCGAAAGTACGCCTGGACTCCCTCTGCGTAGTCCTCAACACACATAATGCGGTTGTCTGCGAGGACATTAACTATGGGGTCTTCTAACTTTTGGACTTTTAATCCTAGCCTCAGCTTCTTCAGCGCTCTACGACTAATATAGCTACGGGTAGCCCCTGAGTCTATAAGGGCCCCAACTCTACTCCTGAACACTTTACGTCCAGTAACACTAGCTGCCCTTTACTATCTTTCTTCATCTTGGCCCAGGCATGCATCCTCTCCTTCAATTCCTCTGCCACGCCTGTGAGGGACGTGCCTAGAGAGATGTTGACACAAGCAGTCTCTGGACAGCTAACTAGGCACGGGCCGACAACCTCTGCCGAAGGCTCATGTGGTGTGGGAGTTTCCTCTACGCGCGCGCTCGCTTCCCCACATGGCCTAATAGTAGGGGCAATTGCAACCCCTACCGGCGGCTGCCTTTCGACTCCTGGGCAGCCCATTGGGCCTGTCTATACTTAGGACAATATTTGATGATATGGGCCAGGTCACCACAATAGATGCATTGCCCCTGCTCCATACGCTGCTGCCAGACTTTCTGATCTAGGCCTAAATCTTCCCAGGGCCGGCCTTGCGGCCAACCTGGGTGCCAACCTCCTCTCCTTTGAGGTGATCCTCCACCTCGTCTTCACGGGGACCGACTGGGACCTTGACGATTTGGTGGGGGACCTTGACCCCTACCTCCCTCTTGGCGGTTCCTTTGGCCGCCAACCCCCTGAGCGCTTGATCCCCGACCTCCCGTGACCTGGCCCCTTTGGCCCTGGCCTCCTCCTCTACTTTGCGGCCTCCCTCCGGCCGCGACAACTGCATAGGACCTCCCCTATCCTATGTTACTGTCCTCCTCCTTGAGGCCCCACTCAATCTGACTGTAGGGGACCCCACTCAATCAAATGATCCTTGACTCTAACTCGGCCTGAGATGGTACGACCCTTCCACTTCTTTCCCTTATCTAGGTCCTTATGCCAGAAAGTGGAGATTTGCATAGACCTCGCCTCAAACAGGACCACTTCTCGACTCAACGGATCGTACATGATATTGGCCTGTTGGGTTTTATCAAAGAAATGCCCTCGCAAGGGCTTTGGCATGGCACGATAGAACAATTGAACCAGTTGGGTCTCAGTGACCCCATGGTCCGGGACAGCTACCAAGTCGTCCATGACATCTTTGAGTGCTCTCACACTCCTCCACTGTCGTGAATGGATGGTCTGGAGCTTATCGAAGGCCCTGACGCCTCTGGTGACGTCAGCAAACCGCTCGCGTATGAGTTTGAGGAAAGTGGTGAGGGGGGGTGGAAGTATGCGATCATATTGTGCTCGCAATCTGCGGCACGTGCGAGGGACCTGGCGAAGCTAGCCGCTTCGTCCTTTAGGGCGTGGAAGGCGACGAGGACTTGCTCTTCGGGGGCAATATGCTGCAAATACACATAAGTATTGACACTGGCTCCCGGTTGTCAAAACTTTCTTCCTTCTTCCCGGTATTCGAGTCGGGGAATTTTAACTTGACTGGCTCTTTGCGAGGGCGCACTGCGACCTCTGTTGAGGCCACAACTTTGGCGGTCTCAATAGCGCCTGTGCAAAACTTGTCTACGCCATCCCTCAGTCTTCTAATTTTGGTCCCGGCGTGGGTCACCACGTCGCTCGCAAACTCTCTGAACCCGGATCGCATTGCCTGCAGGGTTACCTCTTGACCCTTACGGGCCTGGTGCTCCTCCAGCCAGGCCTCACTCATAACTTCCAAGAAGCCCATCATCTTATCTAACTTAGCAGGGATCTTTGTTTGGGCCTGCAGCTCCTGCCTGCAGGTTCGCCCTCGCTCAACCTCCCCGGCTATTCTATTGGCTTCCTCCCTCCTCTTCTTTTCTCTCATCATCTTCAACTTCCACTCCAACTTCTTCTCATCCTCTGTCGCTTGGCGTTCCAGGGGATCCTCTATCAGCTCCAGGGCCCTGGCAAACGCCTCCCTCTCCTCCTGCGGAACATATAACTGTGCTTCTTCATCTTCTCCCAATGATAAATTAACCACCCGTTTACTAATTTTTTTTTCCCTCCATCTGTCTTCCTCCTTCCTGCCACTTGCTTCCTCTCTCTCTTCCCCGCGCCTTCTTTCAAGGGGCTCTTCCTCTTCTTCTTCTTCCTCTTCTGCTGCGGCTTCTTCCTCTGCAGCCCTTCTTCTTTCCTCCTCCTCTCGTTGTATCTGCAACATCTTCTCCTTTTGAAATCTCAACATCTCTTCCTCCAATCTCTTCTTCTTCGCCGCCTGCTCCTCTGCAATGGCCTTTAACTTCGCCTGCTTAAGGAGCTCTTTCTTCTCCTTTCTCTCTCTCGGAAGGGCTGCAATCTGAGCCTGCTCAGCCTCGGAGGGGGCAGTACTCTTCCCACTACGGGTGTCAACCATGGTGAAAGGTGCACAACCAGATGCGGTTCCACTCCTCACCACTTAGACTCTACTCCCCCTGACTGACACACCTATTGACTCAATCTAAGGATTTACAGAATCCGGACAGGATCCTATCAACTAGGGTCTCTAGCCTAGACCTACTTTAAGGAGATCCCCCGTAACTCAGGAATTATTTAACGTCGCAGATAGGACGACGCGATCAGTAGGTCTTCTCAAGACGTAGACAGCCTGTTGTGCAGCCCACAGCTCGGATTTTGGGCCTACCGTGCCACACTGAGCAGCTCGCCGGTCAATACCAGTCCTTGGGAGGGTTCGTGTCCTCCGGGACAGTCGAGTCGTCAGACACTGTCTTTAGCCCTACTCAGCCCGTGTGGGTTTGGTCAACAAGGCCCTATCCTTCATCCACGGAGTTCCTATCACCTGGACAGAAAAAACTCGATGCAGAAAGAAGAGACAAACAGACTTGACTCAGCAAGTACCACAGGGTGTGTGCACATCCATAGGCGAGGGGGTAGGCTGAAGGCTTGGCCAAACTCGTGGTCAACGGCCTTGGTCAACGCCTTGGTCAACGCCTTGGTCAACACTGGGTCAACGCCGCATTCAACCCTCGATCAACTCCCGGTTAACGCTTTTCAACCCCGGTCAACAACCGGTCAACGTCCGGTCAACTCTCCCGGTCAACACCCGATCAGCTATGGCTGCCGACTTCTTCTTCCTCGCCACCCTTCTCCTTTCTTTCTCCCTACCTCGCCTCCTTTCTCTTCACCCCGGCTGTCTTCTTTCTCTTTTTTTTTTTTTTTTTATCGTCTCTCCCTTCACCTCCTCGGCTATGGCTTCTTTCACCTTCCTTGGTCTTCTCCCCTGTCCTCTCTCTCTCCCTCTTCGTTACTCTGTGGTGGAGCTCCGCGGCTATGGCCGCCTCCTTCTTCCTTGTAGGACTGCACGACACACGTGACAGGTACGTGACAACCAAACTTGTATCGCTCATCTCTCTCTCTCCCTCTCTCTTTCTCTCTCTCTCTCGCCGTAGCGATGTCTTCAACGCAGGTACGTGGTAAGCCAATCTTGTATCGCTCAACCTCTCTCTCTCTCTCTCTCTCTCTCTCTCTCTCTCTCTCTCTCTCTCTCTCTCTCTCTCTGTGTGTCTTCTTCTTCGTCGTGGTCTTCTCTGCAGGTGCGCGCGGCAGCTTCCTCAACCTCCAGGTCCGCTATGGCAGACTTCTTCTTCGTCAGCCATTTCGGCAATGGCGCATCACTCTCCCTGCGACACACAACGACGCGCGTGGAATAGCGGGTACCAGCTCCGATACCAATGTAATCAGACTCGCTCTCATTCACACTTCTCATGCATGCAAACAGGTGTGCAGCAAACTGGCGACGAGCGCCCACTCAGAACTCAGAGATATGGTAACCGAGAACACAGTTCAGATTCAAGTTCACTTCGGTGGCTATGGCGACTCAGCGCCCACACAACTCACTGTTCGCATACACAGGATCACCCTGGATATCCCACATGCAATACTCTGAACACATACACACACACACACTGAACTCTACTACAGCTATGGCGGCTATGGCTGCTTCTACCCTATCACTATGGCTACACTCCTCTCTCGCCCACTTCGTCCTCGGGCTCACTGCAGACCTCCTTGCACAAGTCGCTTATGGCAGCGCTTCCGCATGGCTCACACAGAAATGAATGAATGACTGGGCGCTGCCTCTTGATTTACACTTCTGCAGCTCGTTCGTCTGGCCCTTTCCCATGCCCGTAGTGCACACTGTCCCATGCAGTACTTGCTTGACTGGACCAGCACTGACTGCGGACTGGGACTGTTGACTCAGCACGGGTAGACTCCACCACTTGCCCACTTGCCTCACCACTTGCCCACTTGCCTCAGCCTAAACGTGGGCAACTTCGAAAGGCCACTACTGGGACCTTCTGGAAGGCCGTAGACTTGCCTTTCGTTATTGTAGCAGCTACGACCTTGACCTTTCTGGACTGTAGCAGCTACAACCTTGACCCTTCGAGACAGCTACAACTACGACTGCTAGACCTGACTGGGACTCCTACTCGACAGATCTACAGATCGAATCCCTGCTACCTGTGGACACTACGAAAACCTACCAGCTGTTACAAATGCACAGGTCACGGGTTCAACTCTAGGGGTCGACACAGATACTGTACACAGGTAAGGTGGGGACTAGGGATCGAGCCCTGGGGTCTGCATCAGGTACTGCGAACTGGGGAATACCGTTTCATGGCTGGCAGTAAGGGGAGAATTCGGACATTGGTTTTTGTTCATTCTTTCATTGTATTATTATTATTATTATTATTATTATTGTAATGAAGGGTTGGGGGAGTAATTGCAGGTTGAAGATCGCAGCGATATGAAGGGGTATTGACATTGGTCTTTGCTGGTGTTCATCTTCCTCCTCCTCCTCCTCTTCTTCTTCTTCTTCTTCTTCTTCTTCTTCTTTTTCTTCCTTTGTCTGTTTCTCTTTCCGAGTTCTTTCATGTCAGCTGCAATTGAACGGCTCTGTCTTTCTTTGAGTTTGTGTTGTTGCACTGCAAGCTAGCCAGGATCATAACAAACATAACAATTGACGACGAGTGTTGGGATTGGTTGGCTGCAAGTTTTCCGCATGACTGTTTGAGAAATTAGGGGAGCATCAACCAACCTACCAGTGGGCGATCATTGTCGTCAACAGGCACCCTCTCCAGCACACGCAGCGTTTCCAGTCCCCCAACAACCCGTCCAAACACAGCGTGCTTGTAGTTCAAGTGCGGAGCAGATTTGTACAGGATGAAGCTGGCCAGACAGAAGAGAGACAGTCCTGGTGAACAATTGCAATGCCCACAAAAAAATGCAGAATTGATTTTTGAATTTCTGAAGGTGGACAACTGCATGCTGAACGAACAAGAAATCTTTTTTGTTACCTTCTGTTTTTAAGTTTTTAATTGTTTTTCCTTTTTGTGATTTACAGGAGTTCCTAGCTTTGGCAGACTAGTAGCTCTGCCAGTGTTGGGAAACAGGGAAAAGTGGGAGTTTTCCCAAACTCCTAAACATCCAGAGCCCGGGCCCAATGACGGCTGCGATTGATAAATCTGATCGACGACCGTCGTGTCATTTGGTTTCGGCCTCCGAAAAGGTCGGAGGCCCGGCCAAGGTCCGCTATTTTCTCACGCGGCAAAGGTGCTAGTGATTTAAAAAAAAAAAAAAAAAAAAAGAAGAGCACAAGGGGCTCATCTTGTCAGCCTGCTGAACGTATAAGAAATCAGACAGTTCACAGGGGGTCATTACATAACCCGGCTTTGGCTTTTAGGGGCTTTGGCTGAAACTTAAGTCTGGCATCATCCTATGTACGACAAACGCACCATCTTCCTTGAATCAGGGCTACAAACAAACAACTCGCTCAAGACCGAACCAAACCAAACCAAACCAAACCAAACCAAACCAAACCAAGGTAAACTAGACTGTTCAAGACTGGACTGCACCGGACAAAAATTGAATTTTAAATTTTAACTAGATGACCCGTTGCAGCTTCGCCCGCAAAAACAGAAAAGGAAAAAAAGCACAAAAGAAAGAAAAAGCATAAGGAACTCCCATATCATATTCCACCGAGCCTTTTTTTCCCTTTATCTTTGAGTGTTTTGTTTGGGGAGCCATTACCTTCGCAGCATCGTTTTCGTTTTGTGATGTGCAAGAACTCCTCCACTTTTCTGAGAAAATCCTGTCTATTGTCCCGTTGATGTTTTTGCAGCTAAAGATTCAGATTCAGACTTTGTTTGCTGTGTTCTCTGGATATGTTTGTGATCATTCCATCTTGCATGTATGCATGCCCCGTGATTACTTGTTGAGTTTTTTCGCTATGTGCGCAAGTGCATGCGTGTGTGGGCGAGTCTCACTTTGGTGGGCTCGGATGATGTCATTGATGATTGGCCCGGGGAAGTTGGATTGCATTGTATGAGTGATGAAACAATCAGCAGCATTCAACAACAATAGGAGTGCCACTGATGTTAAGAAGCAGGGGTTTTGCATTGTATGAATGATGAAACAATCAGCAGCATTCAATCTGCTTCGCAGTTGCTCTTCGCGTGGGGGACTTGTCGGGAGTAGCATTGACATGAGAGCATCTTGGAGCATTTCCGGGAAGGCAAAACGCAAAGAAGAAACGAAGTAGCACGTGTCAGAGTCACATAAAAGACAGCTTGGCACAGTCCGCCCCCTTCTCTCTCTCTCACACACACACAAAAAGAAAAAGAAAAAAGGGCAACGGAAAAGACGATCGTGC